AAGGAAGGAAGGAAGGAAGGAAGGAAGGAAGGAAGGAAGGAAGGAAGGAAGATTAAAAAAAAAAGCCTGACCAAAAGCAACTTGGGAGCGAAAACTGTTTATTTCACTTTAAAACTTACAGTCTGTTATGCAGGGATAGGACAGGAACTAAAGTAGAGATCATGGTGAAATGCTTGTTCATCTTGCTTTCTTATACTGCTAGGGACCAGCTTCCCAGGGGTGGTACCACCCACAGCAGTCAAGAAAATTCTTCACAGACCTGCTTGCAGGCTAAACTGATAGAGGCATTTCTTTAATTGATATTCCAACTTACGTCAGGTTGGCAGAGGACCAACCAGAACACCCTATACCAGGAGAGCAATGCTCCCAACTAGATACCACATGCTGTGATGAGTTACTATTTTCGAGATTTTGGCCAATGAGGTCTCATAGATCCCCCAAACATTAATGGCTATTGTTATTGCTCTTGATTGCCACCCATACTAATGACACCACTTCCATGGAAGTTTGGCCACTACCGGCTAGCCTTCACGGTGGTGGGAGATGCTGTGTACACTGCCAGAAGAAAAAGGTTGCATTGGATCGTCGGTTTGCTTGGATAATATGAATGTTTTAACAGTGTTAACTCTTCGAGGCCACTCATACACAATACCCTTCTGTCTGTCTGTCTCCAATTTCATCAGTGTTTTATAGTTTTCACTGTAGAGATCTTTTACCTCATTGGTTAGATTTATATCTAAGTGTTTTGTGTAGTTATTGTAAATGGGATTTCTGTTGAAGTCTATAGAAATGCTGCTGGCTTTTTTTATGTTGATTTTTGTATTTAATTACTTTTAGCTCATGATCATAACTTGTAAGAATCTGCAGAGTTGCCTACTTTTAAAAATCATGTCATCTGAAAATAGTAACAATTTAATTTCTCCCTCTCTTGCCCTTTGTTTAATTCCTCCACACATATAAGATTTCCTCTAGACATGTCTTATTCCAAATCAGTGTGTTTCTGATGGTTGAATTCCTTTGAACTTATTATCTGGTTGATTATTTTTATTTGGAATTTTAGTAAGTCCTTCAACAATATCAACATTTAAAATCCCAGTCAGTGTGCCCCTGAATATTCTTCTTTCCCTGAAGAATGAGCCCTGGAGAACCCAGGACATTTCCCCTCTCTGGCTGCAAGAGTTGAGAGGACAGAATGCATGGCGTCTTCTGCAGTAGAGGCGGGTCTTTTAATGAGTTTGGACTCTGCATGCTGCAAGAAGTCAGAGATTACAGAAGTCACCCAATCAGCTTACTACTCCATCTCCCTCGGTGTCGTTGTTCCCCCCGCCCCCTGAAACCTGTGACCACTGTAGCTTCAGCAAGCACCCATGACGGCTGCTCTGTTTAATGTGTTCACACGCTCTGTAGCTCTGTCTGCCTCTCCCCTGGGTCAGCGGCAGGGTCAGTAAGGATCTACAGGATACCACATAGTATATGCAGGGTAAGGAAGCCTACCGCAACCCCCTGCATTTAGATGCTTCTATCTTTAAAAAAAAAATCAGTTACCACAAGCAACATATTTTTAATTGTCTAAGTCATTGTGTGTGTGCCTGTACATATATGTGTCTGTAGAGGCTATGTATAAGTACCACGTCTTCGATCTGTAAAATACACTGGAGACACAGCAAATGCATTAGGCATAGCCACAGGAGATTTTAGACAGCTTCATAGCAACACTGCTGCCAATAATTAGGGAAGGGATAGCCATTGTCCTTTGCTGCTTGGAGGCTACAACCATTGAAATGACAGCCAGGTTGTGTAGATCTATATAATACCCTAACTCTTTCTGAACCAGGAGTTAATTTCTTCTTGACAGTTGTCATCATCTTTGGGTTGTTTTTTTGTTTTGTTTTGTTTTGTTTTTTTATAAGATCAGGTATGACATAATGATTGAAAATTCCAAGTAGGGGAGCTGGAGAGATGGCTCAGAGATTAAGAGCACTGGCTATTCTTCCAGAGGTCCCGAGTTCAATTCCCGGCAGCCACGTGGCAGCTCACAGCCATTATAATGAGATCTGGTGCCTTCTTCTGGCACTCAGGCATACATACAGGCAGAACACTGTATATATAATAAGTAAATGAATCAAAAAGAAAAGAAGGAAGGAAGGAAAAATCCCAAAGTAGGGCTGGGCATAGTGGTGAACATCTTTAATCCTAGCACTTGAGAGATAGAGGCAGGCAGATCTCTGTGAATTTGAGGACTCTCTGGTCTAGATTGGTGAGTTCCAGGACACCCAGATGTACATAGTGAGACCCTGTCTTGAGAAGGAAAAAAAAAAAAGAAGAAGAAGAAGCAGGAGGAGGAGAACTATCCCAAGTAGAAACTGTGGAGAGGAGGGATTTTCCATGTTTCTCTTAACATTGTAAGGAGAAACTGTTTTTAAAACTCCATAGACTGCGGTTTTGACAGGGCCACCCTGCCATTTTTGTGGTTGACAAGACAATGTTAATGCTTTCCTTGGCTTCAAGAAGAGTCACAGCTCCCCCTCTTGTGTACACTGGCTCTCGACAGGACTGACGGGGACAGAAATGAATAGGCTTCCCATTGTTCTGTGCGTTTTCACCAGGACATTTCATCAGTGTAAACAGTGAGCCCTTTGTCATCTTACTTCGCCACTTGACCCTGGTGACTCTGTTCTGCTCGTGCCGTGAAGTACAGAGGTGGCAGGCACGGGACAGGCACTAATTATTGGACGCAGAAGCATTGCTGACCCAGGACGAGATTAACTGCTCCTTTGCAGTTTTTATTCCAGGGCATTAGCACTGTCTGGTTATCTTGCTTTGGTTGAGAAATCCAGGACAATAGCCGTGCTGATGGTAACGCTGGCGATTTCCCTGTTTGTTTTGCAGGTCACGGCCAGGGGCTTTGGGCCACTGCTCCAGTTTGCCTACACGGCCAAGCTGTTACTCAGCAGAGAGAACATCCGCGAGGTCATCCGCTGTGCCGAGTTCCTGCGCATGCACAATCTGGAGGACTCCTGCTTCAGCTTCCTGCAGACACAGCTCCTGAACAGCGAGGATGGCCTGTTTGTGTGCCGGAAGGACAGCGCGTGCCAGCGCCCCCAAGAGGACCATGGGAACTCTGCAGGAGAAGAGGAGGAGGAGGAAGAGACGATGGACTCAGAGACCGCGAAGATGGCTTGCCCCACCGACCCCATCAGCTTCGAGGCCGCTGCCATCCCAGTAGCAGAGAAGGAAGCCTTGCTCCCTGAGTCTGAGGTACCCACAGACACCAAGGAAAACTCAGAAAAGGATGCGTTGACACAGTACCCTAGATACAAGAAGTACCAGCTTGCATGTACCAAGAATGTCTACAGTGCGTCCTCACACAGTACCTCAGGGTTTGCAAACACATTCAATGAAGACAGCTCCGGCAATAGCCTCAAAACGGGGCTCTCCAGGGGACAAATTAAGAGTGAGCCACCCAGTGAAGAGACCGAGGAGGAGAGCGTCACACTCTGCCTGTCTGGAGATGAAACTGACATCAAAGACAGACCGGGAGATGTTGAGATGGACCGGAAACAGCCCAGCCCTACCCCTACCCCCAATACCCCTACTGGAGCCACCTGCCTGGACAGATCCAGGAGTGTGGCCTCACCGTCCTGTCTACGGTCTCTGTTCAGTATAGCAAAAGGTGTGGAGTCGTCTGGCCTGCCCGGTACATCTCAGCAGCACTTTGTCAGGAGTTCGGCGTGCCCTTTTAACAAGGGGATCTCTCAGGGTGACCTTAAAACTGACTATACCCCTTTCACAGGGAATTACGGACAGCCCCACGTGGGCCAGAAGGATGTGTCCAACTTCACGATGGGGTCGCCACTCAGGGGGCCAGGGCCGGAGGTTCTCTGTAAACAGGAGGGAGAGCTGGACCGGAGGAGTGTCATCTTCTCCTCGAGCACGTGTGACCAAGTGAGCACTCCAGTGCATTCGTATTCTGGGGTGAGCAATTTGGACAAAGACCTCTCCGAGCCGGTGCCAAAAAGTCTATGGGTAGGGACTGGCCAGTCCCTCCCCAGCTCACAGGCCTATTCCCACAGTGGACTGATGGCTGACCACTTGCCAGGCAGGATACGGCCCAACACCAGCTGCCCGGTGCCAATCAAAGTCTGTCCTCGCTCACCTCCACTAGAGACCAGAACCAGGACCTCCAGCTCCTGCTCCTCCTATTCCTATGCAGAGGATGGGAGCGGGGGCTCCCCCTGCAGCCTCCCTCTCTGTGAGTTCTCCTCCTCACCCTGTTCCCAGGGAGCCAGATTCCTTGCCACAGAACATCAGGAACCGGGCCTGATGGGAGATGGAATGTACAACCAAGTCCGACCCCAAATTAAATGTGAGCAGTCTTACGGAACCAATTCCAGTGACGAATCTGGATCATTCTCAGAAGCAGACAGTGAGTCGTGTCCTGTGCAGGACAGGGGCCAGGAGGTAGGGAATCCACCTGAGTTCAAACGTATGACCTGCTGTCTCGGTCCTTGACCTGAATTGTTCCTCTCAAGCATCATTTTCAGACTGTTCGTATGTGTTGTCTTGGTTAGGGTTGCTATTACTGTGATGGAACACCATGACCAAAACACAAGTTGGGGAGGAAAGGGTTTATTTGGCTTACACTTCCATATCGTTGTTCATCATCAAAGGAGACCAGGACAGGGCAGGATCCTGGAGGCAGGAGCTGATGCAGAGGCCACGGAGGGTTGCTGCTTACCGGCTCACTCCTCCCCAAGGCGCTCTCAGCCTGCTTTCTTATAGAACCGAGGACCACCAGCCCAGGGATGACCCTACCCACAATGGGCTGGGCCTTCCCTCATCAATAACTAATTAAGAAAATGCCTTACACCCAGATCTTACGAAGGCATTTTCTCAATTAAGATTCCCTCCTTCCACATAACTAATTTGCATGTCAGGTTGACGTAAGACCCACCAGCACGCATGTCAAGTTTAAAGGTGACAGTCAATGGTCTGGTAGCAGGAAGTGGACTGTCCCTTCCTTCCTTGGAAGCACAATGGCGCAGGGTGATTCCAAATTGCTCCCTTCGATCTTAGAAAGCTCTCTATGTCTAACCTGGATTCCAGGGCTCAGTGAGCAGAGGCAAACTGAATGCAGCGAAAGTAAGTGTGTTGGGGGGGTGCTTTCAGCCTCCCCCCTTTCTCCTCCCCTATCTTCTACCTACTTTGGAAGGATGCCCTCAGGTTTGCTCTTCACCCCTTCATTACGAAGGGCAGTGGATAAGCTCCTTCAACGTGATGAACTGGAGCTGAATAGAGCCTGCCAAACCGGTGCTCTCCCTGCACTTTATAAGTATTCCTTGTCAACAAGACACAGGGTGGCTCTGTCTCTATCACAGCGCTTATGACAGAAGCCTTATCATCCATCCTAGACACGGGATCCCTGCCGAAGTACCCTCGTCAACACACACAGCTGTGTCAGGGCTCGCTTCCTGAAAGAAGACATTCATTTAGTAGATAGTGTCTCTGTCCAGCCTGAAAGCATTGGGCTTTGTCGATAAAAAGCATATAAAGACTTCATCTGTGGGTCACTGTCTCTGGGAGCAGGAGTGGGGACAGTCCTGGCTACATCATAAGCAAGACTCACATAACTATGAGAAAGAAGAGTGGGTGTCCCAGAGGTCCCCAGTTCCCTAGTAATTTGAATGTTGCCTAGACAGATCTAAGCATGTCTAGGTCGTGACCTGGTATCTACTGCACTGCCTTGCTGATTGACAAGAGAACCACCCAGAGACTGCCGCTGTGGCTCACACCTGTCTCGGCAGCAGAAGTGAGCAAACCCAGTGACAGGTCTTGCCCCTGTGTCTGAAGAACACAGAAAGACGTATGGGTTGGGGCTGTGACTCCGTGGCAGTGTGCTTGCCTGCCTTGGCCTGGTCTTGGAGTCAGTCCCTGGGGGGAAAAAAATGAAAGAAAGAAGGAAAGAGAGAGGAAGGACAGGAAGGGAGGGAGCTGCCAGTGAGGCCAGTGTGCTCAGTACTTACCTGCTTTTCGGCAGCGTTTCTTGTTCAGCAGAGGTTAGCTCTGCCAGACAGCAGGAATGTGTGAGAGGCGAGGTGAGGTAGCTGCGGAGCGGCGTGTGGTTGATTCAGCATCTGCAGGGCCGCCGGGCAGAAAGCACGTGACAGGAGCTCTAACTTCAGGCGTGTTTTGAAGATGGACTCCAAAGCTGCCTAGAGCTAGCTGCAGACACACCCTGGCTTCACTTCCTCTTCTTTGCTAACCTGCCTGGTCCCAGCTTTCCTGTTAGTGTCTGGCAGAAATAGAGAAAGACAGAAAACCACTGAAAATGATTTAAACAATAGAAATTATAAAGACACTCTGAATGGGCGGCCTTTCTGTCCGTATCTTCTCCCGTGGAGTTTGGGCTAGGGTTACCGTCAATGCATGACATGCAGCCCTGTTCCTAACCTTAAGAAGAGTGAGGCTTCCGAAAACCAAGAGTCGGTTGTGTTCTCTCCTTTTGCCTTCTTTCCTCTGACAGTTTTTGTGAGGTTTCTTTTTGTCCCGGAACTGTTTCAAGTGTGCTTCGTGAAGAAAGCTCGTCACAGAGTCACTTCCATCCCACAGCTGATCTTCCCAACAACTGGCAAAGTGAGGACAGATGCTTCTGAGCCTTTGTTGTCTTTTGAAGACCCTACACTTAGCCCAGGAAGTCGTGTTTCTTAAGAACTATCAGTTTCAGATACCCAACATATGCCAGCTGGGTAGTGGTGGCGCATGTCTTTAATCCCAATATTCTGGAAGCAAAGGCCAGTGGATCTCTGTGAGTCCAAGGCCAGACTTGTCTACAACGTGAGTTCCAGGATAGCCAGGATTACACAGTGAAACTCTATCTCAGAGGAAAACAAAAACAAAAAACAAAACAGATAGCCAATGCCATCCATAGAACACTTTTTCTTCTCTGTTGGACCACGTCAGTGTCCACCTTAGAACTGAAAACCATGACACAGGGGGAGAAATCATTCAACCCATGAAGCAGCCACAGACGGAACGAGTCTCCCCTTAAAATACCCTTGCATTTAATTTTTATTTTTACTTTTCAAAACAAACCTGTTAAGCATTCATAAGCAGTGAAGGACATGTTTGCCAAAACTCCCTGCCGTTTCATGAGTCACACGCCAACCCTCTCGGTAGCTTGTGCTGGGCAGGAGGATGCAAGCAAAGCTGAGGTTTTTCCCCAGTGGAGGAAGTTATTTCCCAGAACCACCCAGGCCGTCGGCATGATGGCCCCCCTGGGAGTTAGTGACTTACTTCAGGAGTGACTTGGCATGGGTAGAAGTTCTGCCCCCAAATACACCGCATTCCCATGAGCTTTAACTTGTTTTCTTGAACTGATCCATAAAATACAATAGTATCTATCTTGGATTCTGCCCAGATTGCTTTTAGATAGGGTTTGGGTGTTTTCTTCCAAGTGAACCACAAGACACAAGCGAGTCTGAAATAAAACCTGGGGCTCCTTTCTCAACGGGCCACCTGCGTAGATAGCCTTGCAGCATCTCTCCATCTTCTGAGCCAAAATGCTGGACCAAAAGAAAAACATTAACCTGCCTTACTTTCTGTAAAATCTATCACTGTGTTAAATAACTCTCCTAGGGCATAAAGCACAGAGCTTTTCCCATCCTTTTTCACCCTTCCCTAGCTTTGAAAAAGCATCAGTTATTGGGTTGGAGAGTTGACTCAGCAGTTACAAGTACTGACTGCTCTTTCAGAGGACCCAGGTTCAATTCCCAGTGCCCACCCACATGGCGGCTCACAGCCTTCTTCTGTAGCTCTGGCCTCTGCAGGTACTGCATATTCATGGTGCACTGACCAGACATACATGTAGGCAAAATACCTATGCACATAAATCTTAGATTTTTAAATAAAATACAATTTCCATACCATAAAATTCACCCTAGTAGAATGAAAATCTCAGTGGTTTTAGTATTTTCGCAGTGTTCTGCAGCCATCCCCAGTTTGTGTCCTAGCACAGTTTCTCCACCCAGGAATAATACAGTCCCCCAGTAGCAGGTCTTCCTCATGGCTCCTTTCCCTCCACCCCAGATGACCACCAGTCCACCCCTGTCCTGTATAAATGGTATTTGGCTTTCTTCACTTAGGATAGATAGCATTTTCAAAGTTTGTCTCTTCCGTAGATAGACCCACACACCTGGTGTGTTATATATCAGAGCTCCACCCTTCTAATTGCTGATACATTTTGTTAGGCCATACCACATTTTATTGATCCATCATTGCTTGAGGGAGTTTTGGTTGGTTCTGCTTCCTGGGTATATTTTTTGGAATGGTGCTGTGAGCATTTGCATGCCAGGTTTTTGTAGACAGGCTTCCAGTCCCTTTGTTACCTGTCTCTAAGTGGAATTGTTGGATAATGTGATGACTCTCTCTGTGGTCTTTTGAGGAACTACACAGCCGTTTCCACGGCAACTGTACATTTTTTTTTCACCACCACCTTCCAATCAGGCTAGGAGACATCCAGTTTCTCCTCTCTCTGCCAACACTTATTCTTCTCTGTGTGCCCATCTAATGGATAGCACATGGCATCTCCCTATGTTTACCAGTCTGCTTTAGGTTTTGAAAGCTGTACAAAAGGCACAGCCCTCTTCCAAGTGTCAGTGCCCTGGTAAGTTCCCGAAGCCTTTCTAAGTGATTGTGGTTTTAGTGATGAAACACCGGGAAGATGGTTTATTTCCATATCCAAAGGTCCTGCTTAGCTGGGCTTGGTTTACTGACATGCTTCATTTGGAGAGGAAAAAAAAGCATATGATAGTAGCTGGGCATAGTGGCAAATGCCTTGTAATCCCAGCATTTAGGAGGTGGAGGCAGGAGGGTCACAAGTTTGAGGCCAGCCTGAACTACGAGGCCCTGTATTAAACAAAACAAAATGAAAAGGGAGGGATGTGTTGAGGGAGGGGAGCCACCATTGAAATAGTACAGAAAAGCCGTGTCTAATTCTTCTCACCGAATTACTGAGTTGGATATTCTGTTTATTTTCATTTCTTTCTTTCTTTGATAATTTTAAAACCGTTATTCTATTATTCTTTGACAATTTCATAGACATATATACTTGTCTATATCTTTCTTCCTTCCTTCCTTTCTTTTTTTCTTTTTGAGACAGGGTCTCTCTATGTAGCTCCAACTGTCCTAGAATTTAGTCTATAGACCAGACTGCCTCTAACTCACAGAGACCTGCCTCTGTCTCCCAAGTTTAAAGGTTTATCCCACCATACCCAGTTTATTTTGGTCATTTTTAATCCCACTTATTCTCTCTCATCCCTTCCTGCCCCCGATGAGCCCCTCCTTCCCAGTTAACTTGATAACTTTCTGTGTAAGATTTTTACAGTCGTCCCGGTGGTTCATTTCTGCCAAGCGTCTGTGATTGATCTTCTTAATAAAAAGAAGACTTTGAATGGCAGCATAGAGGTCAGCTGTGTTCATAGTCAAAACGGTATTTTTATGTTGTCTAGAACATTCTCAGTGTTTGGAATTCCTCATGTTACATGCCTGGAAACCATATAACAAGGAAAGATGGGTCTTAGCTCACCCACAAAGCAATTCCTTTCTCTGTCTGTTATCTCGTGTTATTCTTCGCAGCCGTTCCAATGAGACAAGTATTATCTCGGACTCACAGAACCTCAAGAGATTCAGGACAGAGAGACTGAGTTACCTGGGACCACGGCGCTAGTAGTCTTTGTAGTCTGAGTGCATCCCTGGTGTCTGGAAACACGGAGTAGAAGGGTGATGCAGGAGCCATCTCTTGGTCTTGGAGAGCCCATATATTATCATGGCCTCTAAGGTGCCTGCTCAGTCCGGCACTGTGTGCCTATGGCTTCAACTCATATCCTGTAAGAGCCAATAAGGAAAGCAGGAAAGCTTCACGGTTCATTCTTCTGTTTCTCCACCATCCTCCTCCAATATCCTTTAGCCAGCAAACTGAACGCAGCAGGCCAGTAGAATGTGTGTTCATAGACTTGGTGAAGCACGATAGAGGGTCGCTTTCCCAGTTCCGTGAAAACTGTACAGAGCGAACATTGCAGAGAAATCCATCAAGACAAGATAGGCATTGTTTCAGAGTGGGAACTTTTCTTCTTTTGTCTCATAATTGAATTCTGCATAGGAAGAGGTGTTTTTGATTATATTTTTAATGGAGATGGGAAGGGTAACTTAAGCCCCAGGATGTGGGCAGTTGTTAGCAAGTAGTTTTCTGATGGATGAAAAGGAAACACGGCCTCCCAGGTCTGCCTGCAGCTTGTCCAACCTCCCTGGTCCAGGCTTTCTATCTGGCCATGCAGATGTGCTGAGAAGGCAGGTTTAGGTTTCATGCATCCTTCAGCAGGTCCTCTGCCCTTTGCTGTCTCTAGATCAGAGGTCCCTGGTTGCGCTGCAGGAACCATTTCACAGACTGCTAAAGAGCTGGGACTCCCACAAAGTCTAACCTCCCTTGGACATGTTTTGTTGGGCAGTATAAGTCCCATCCTGGAAAATGACCTCTAATCCTGCACTCCCTGTGAGTTCCAGAGGTTTGAGAAGAGTCAGCACTTTGGTACAAGATTGGGTACAACCAACAGGAACGTACTGTGCAAACCACAGTCCTGGCCTGTGGTGCCCTCTTTGGCCCTGGGTCTGCTGACTCAGTGGGTGCTATTCCTGAATCTCTGAGCCTTAACTGAGAACCAAAGTAATTAGTTGACAGCTAAAGAGAAGCGTCACCGGCAAACCCGCAGGCCCGTCTGCTACGCAGTCTCCCAACCCAGAGTCCGCTGAGTGTAATTGCAGGCCGTTCAGGCCGGCCGCAGTGAGAGCCCGCAGAATGTTTCTTCGCGTCCTGTTGTCTGTTCTGTGCTATCTCTGGGGACCCAGAGAGTAAACACCTCTGATGAGAAGTGCAGTCTGGAAGGATGTGTTGTGCAGGAGCAGTGACTCAAACAGCAAGCCCTACGAGCTTTCTGCGTGGGCTGCTGTATTAAGCTTCTGGAGGAAAGAGAAGCCTCTTTGGCCTTCTCTGTGCTTTTCAAGTGTGCAAGGCCCTGCCACAATACCCGGCGTCCAGCCCTGGGCGGGGGAACATGTGCGTTCACAAAAGCCTGTGAGAACTCTCCTAGTCGAAGGCCTGGGGCTGCTCCTCATCTCCAGGCGTGCCCATTGGCTTAGAAACACAAAGGGGATGTGATAAATCCTCTCTGCCCCTTGGGGAGCACAGCAGGTGCTCCCACCTATAGTCCCTGTAAGTTCTTCCTTTCCGTATGGCTAGCAAATCTAAAAACACAAACCCACCAAAAGAATGAGGTTCCCTCTCCCCTGGTAGGAAAGAAAGCCTGAGGTTGACTCTTTCCTTCGCCCCCTGACCCACTTTAAAGAGCAGCTGGATTGCAAAAGCCCTGATGAAATTTTCTGTGGGGTTTGCATTCGCTGCCAGGACTTTGACACTGCCTTTGTTGATTTTTCCCTTTCTCCTGCCAACCCTCCATCCTATCTACCTGTGTTGTGTTTGCTGTCTAGATCATTTTAAATACAATAGTGTTTGGTGTGGAAGCCCTTTTGACTCTCCTTGTGATTTGCACTGTTGGCATGTTTTCTTTTGGAAAATAAGTCAATGTGATCTGGAACTGAAGTAGGGTGACTCAGCTGTCAGCGGAAGTAGGAGTCCCATGAGCCCTAAGAGTGCACACGGCCTCTGTGATGCCCAAATTCAGTGCCTCTAATAGTTGACCTCTGTGCTGTTGAGGAACCATCTAGGATCTGAGTATCTCTTTACAGTTATCAGAAGGGAAATTGCCAGTCTTCCCTATCAGTATCAGCCTTATAGAAACACAGCCCCACAAACAAAGGCCTTTCCGAGCCCCTGAAAAGGAACTGTTTGTCCTGACTGCTTGTGTTTGGCATTCAGAGCAGGGCTGGGACCACAGTGATGTAATTATTCCCCTATAGTTTCCTGTTCTTGGGCTGAAGTTTTGCAGGTGTCATGGGGCTCACATTCACCATGTGAGGTTCAAATCAGAGCATCCTCTGGGAGCCTTCCACAAATGCCACATGGAATAAACTCACAGCTAGGAAGTAACCCAAAAAAGCATGTTCCCCCGAGCACAAGAAAGGCAAATGATTCTTTAATGGGCTTTGCTTGCTTTGTGCGTGGTGATCAACTGGGCACAAAGGCCAGGACTGCTGGGCCGCGTGTCTGTGTGACACAATTGTATTCCTGGGTTTAAGCTAGAAGAGCCACGTCCTTGGCCTCTTAGAGATCCCAGATTCAACACTGCACTGTCTGAAGACTAACAAATAAGGCTGCTTTCTTCGCTAGAATATTTTGAGCGAAGAAACCCAGTCCCATTATGCTTTTTCTAGGGACTCTTTTTCCTGAGAGCTGTATGAGGTTAATGGCTGCCCCTGCGCACGCCTCTTATGAGGGCTCATCTGAATTGTGATTTAATAGAACAAATAAATGTGCTTTGGATTTAAAATTTTTATCAGTATATTTTTTCATTAGCAACTTATATAAACTGCATGTTGTAAATATTTTAGTATGGGGATAAATAACATGTTTTTGGAATTAAATTCACCTGTTTTGTTTTATTTTTACTTCATTTAATATGACTGCTGTCAATTTTGGTTTTGGGGGGTTGGGGGCTGGGGGGGTTGTTTTTGTTTTGTTTTGTTTTGTTTTTGACAGGGGTAAATGTTGGTTTGGGTTTTCCCAAATTCACAAAGATCCTCCTGCTTCAGCCTCTACCTCTCAACTGCTGAGAGGTGTGACCCACTATGCTAAATTAGCCTTCCTGACAGATAGTGTTAGTTAGCCTAACTCATAACATTTAGGCTTATAGTGCCACCTGCTGGCCCAGTCAAAAGCAAAATTTGAATGTAAGAAAAAGTAACCTGAACCAGGTGGTGGTGGCGTACGCCTTTAATCCCAGCACTCAGGAGGCAGAGGCAGGTGGATCTCTGTGTGTTTGAGCCCAGCCTGGTCTACAAGAGCGAGTTCCAGAACAGGCTACAGAGGAAGCCTGTCTTGAAGACAAAAAGTAACCTGAGCTGGTGTAGTGGCCCAGGCTGGCCTCTAACTCCACGTGCAGACAAGGATGCCCTTGCGGTCCTGGTCCTCCAGCCTCCACCTCCTGGGATTACTGAGATTGCATTTTTCCAGGAGCTGCAGAAACATAAATGATTGAGGAAGCCCCCAAACCGTCAGCGCCACCTCAGCAAGGGCAGGAATAAACTCTTAGATGTTGCAGACCTGAGCCCCAAACCCTGTGGTCCTGATGAGGCTCTAGGGATGGGGAACCTGGGTTTGTGTCTCACCTTCTGCATTAGGCATGAATCGATTGCTTTAGCCCAGGCTGGTCCCAAACTCAGCTTTTAGTTATGGATAGCCTTGAATTCCTAATTTTCATGCCTCTACTTCTGGGTTTACAGACATGTGTCACTATGGCAGGCCTCTGTAGTTGCTATTCTTAAGAAATAATACATACCAAAAATTTAACAACACAGAGAAGACACCTCCAAGGACATGTCATTCTCTCCTTATTGTTTTGGGGTTTCTTACTTATTTTACTTTATGATTGTTTTGCTTGTGTGTATGTCTGTCTGTCTGCCTACGTGAGTGCCTGGTGCCCACAGAGGTCAGAGGAGGAAAGGACATTGGATCCCCTGGAACTGGAGCTACAGATGGTTGTGAGCTACCAAGTGGGTCCTGAGAATCAAACCTGGGTCCTCTGGAAAAACAGCCGGTGCTCTTAACTACTGAGCCATCTCTCCAGCCCATCATTCTCTCTCTAGAAAGTGTTTGCCTTAACTTGTCAAGGACTTGAAAGTAGGAGTCTTGGTGATAAATTAAGCATTTCCACGTGATAAACAACCCCAAATCTTACTGGCTTACAGCAGCAGTAGGTCACTTAGCTTCTCTCGCAGTTCCTGAGTGTGAGGAACTCAGCCGGCCCATCTGAGCATTTCCAGCGGCAGCGGCAGGTCTCTGTTGGGCTTGAAGTCGGGTGTTGGCTGGGGCTACAGTCATCTGAGTATCTCACTAGCTTTCAGGATCCACTTCCGGGCTGGCAAGATGGTTCATCATGTCAGGGTGCCTGCCGAGTCTGACTCCCAGAAACCATACAGTGAGAAAAGAAAACTGAGTTCAAAATAAATGAATAAAATGTAATAAGCAGTGAATGAGTTTCCCAGGGGGTCCATTCAGGTAACTGGCAGGACAATGGCAGTGAGCTGGATGCACCAGGTCTGCCCTACGGAGCAGCCAGTGCAGTGGGACTGAGTCCAAGTCTCGATGTCCTTCAAGGCACAGCCTCAAGAACACATAATGCCATCCGCTGAGATGACCTATCAGAAGGAAGGCTTGTGCATCTTGGCAGAGGAATAGCAACATTATGCTATATGAGGAAATGTAAGGTGTGGTGGCCATTTTTTTAAATAAATATTCTAAGTGCCTACCGTAACACAGACCTAGAAAGCATACCTTGTTTTGCACATGAGGAAATTGAGGTTCGCAGGAGTAATGTCACCTCCTTGAATTCTCGTTCTCTGTGAGTAGTAAAGCCCATTTCGGACAGCTCCTATCCGGGCTATCTCCTTGTGTTTTGTGTGTGTAAACAAAGACTCTCGCTGACTGTTGCGTATGTTTCGTATCTTCGAGGTGTACTGGCCTATCTTTCAAGTCTTTGCATCCATCCTTAGAGGACAACTTTACATGGGTCACTTTGTTGAGCTCGCTTGTGGAACTTGTAGAAGAGAGTGTTGATAAGCCGTAGTCTCCCTAAAATTAACAGTTTCCTCAGGAACGATAACATTATAATTTGTGTCTGTTTCTTTTGCATTGTCCTTTTTTGATTGTGTGTGTGTGTGTGTGTGTGTGTGTGTGTGTGTGTGTGTGTGTGTGTTGAGACATATTCTCACTTTGTATCCCAGACTGGCTTCAAACTTACTATGTAGCGTTTGCTATGGTCAAACTCAGTCCTCCTCCTCCTTGTCCTCCTCCTGAGTGTCAGGATTAGAGTTATACACCACCACACCTGACTTTCTTGTGTGTGTTTGTATTGTTTAATTATACAAATATTTCATCTCACTATATTTGACACAAGAGATTATGAATCACTACTTGCTTTCAGTGGTTTCCATACGATTTGGTCATCTTTTTAAAAAGATTTGGGGACTGGAGAGGTGGCTCTGCAGTTTAGAGCACTGGTTGCTCTTCCAGAGGACTCAGCTTCAACTCCCAGCCCCCACATGGTGTCTCACAACCCTCTATAGTTCCCACCCCACGGGAGCCAACGCCATTTTCTGGCATCCACAGGCACTGTGCACATGGTGCAAAGAGGTGCATGCATGCAAAACACCCATGCGCATAATATTAAAAACAGAATGGAAAAACAAGCAAGCCAACAGGTGAGATTTCACTGGGGCTGGACAGATGACTCAGCAGTTGAAAAATGTGTACCGCTCTTGCAAAGGACCCAAGTTTGGTTCCCAGCACCCACAGTAGGCATCTCACAACTGTCTTACACCCTCTTGTGACCTCATGGCCTCACCTCAGTGGGCACCTGCACGTGTGTGCACATACCAACACACACACACACACACACACACAGTATTTTAAAGGAGTTTTACCATTCTGTGGCGTCTCGCTCCAGCTGCTCTAACCCCACTCTGTGTTCTTGGTTCCAGGTTAAACTTCCTTTTCCTGTAGATCAGATCACAGATCTTCCCAGGAACGACTTCCAGATGATGATTAAGATGCACAAGCTGACCTCAGAACAGTTGGAGTTCATTCACGACATCCGGAGGCGCAGCAAGAACCGCATTGCCGCCCAGCGCTGTCGCAAGAGGAAGCTGGACTGCATTCAGAATTTAGAGTGTGAGATACGAAAGCTGGTGAGTCGGCGGGCGAGCAGGTCGTCAGCCCCCGGAAGTGACCGAGACTGGAGAAGTGGAGGGACAGGTTACCCTGTCGAGATAGGAACAGTATTATGGCATGTTCATCCCAATCACAGTGTGTTGTGAGGGGAAGTCAGAGCAAGAACTGGAGGCATGAACCAATGCCGAAGGCACAGAGCAAGCCATTCTCGCTGGCTTGCCCTCTGTGGCTTGCCCAACTTTCTTCGTATACATCCCAGGACCACCAGCCGAGGCCTGGTACCATGCACAGTGGGCTAGGCCCTCCTACATCAATCATTAATCAATAAAATGGCCCCCATAGACTTGCCTACAGGCCAGTCTGATGGAGGCAGTTCCTCAATTGACATTCCCTCTTCCCAGATTACACTAGCTTGTATCAAGTTGATTTAAAAAAAAAAAAAAAAAAACCTCTTGTCTCAGTGCTGAACAAGAGTTCCACATGTCCATCCACACACGTCTGTACATTTGTGTGTCTTAGAGATTCATAGTAGGGTCTTTGGCTTCGACTTTGGTTTCTTACAAGAGGATATTCCTGTGTAGACCAGGCTGGCTTTAAACACAGGCCTCTGTCTCCCGGGCTTTGGTCGGATAGGCACATACCCCCAAGGTTCCCTGGTTTTAGCCTAGGCTATTCTTCCTTTTCTGAGGAAAGCCAAAACCATGTCACTTGTGCCCCCTTATTTTCTTCTCCCACAAAGTGTCCAGAACAAATTTAAAATGAGTAGGCAGGTCCACAGGAGGTAGTGCCTAGACCAAGGGGTTGCAACACAAGGGCCCGAGACTCCTTTCCCAGAATACACTGGCCCTCATTTTTAGACCCCCGGGTTCAGTGGAGAGGAGGCCAGCTCGCTGGACCTGCTTGCTTGTGTCTCAGTGGCGGGGATGACTTGAGACCGGCCAACCTGGTCTGCCGCGGCACAGTTCCCGACAGGCCCTGCTCTCAATTCCTGCTCCCCCCGATGTCTCCCACATGCTCAACTCCCTAGTTTGCAGATGCACATAATGTATTTCTCTCAAGCTGCACTTGTACATCTGTTTATTTTTCATTTTTAAAACATGTTTTCTAGATAAATTTATAAATATTTTAGCAGGTGTCCTTTCCCCATATAAATCTCTCTCTAGCACACATACCCACGCTGCCTGCCAGATTGCATTCATATCAGGCCTTGCACAGTTCCTGTGTCAGGGACCTGCTCCTCTCTCCCTCCCCTTCACGTCTCCTCCCATCCTTGCCTCAGCTTGCCCGCAAGACTTGCAGAGGGCTGGCTACCACTCTCCCCACACGACTACGGACACCCCATTTCTATAGTGATATATATACTGATAGATACATAGATCCATACATACATACATACATACATACATACATAGATACATAGATAGATAGATAGATAGATAGATAGATAGATAGATAGATAGATCACTATAACGTGTGAGTATCATGAACCCTGTCCACACTTCCTCACACAAATTTTGATGGTAAAACTTGAATTTGTCTCCTCTTTGGGGCTAAACTCACCTCTCAGGGGACAACAAGTGTAAGAAATCAGGCGCATATGTGGATTTTTGTTTAATAGGAGAAACATCTTAGAACCTTGGGCCAATATATTAGAGCACAGACTCCACATTTCTGTCCCCGCCGCCCCATCCAGTGCCCAGGGATGATCCCTGCTCAGGCTTCAGAGCATGGTTCCCAGTGTCCTACAGAGGTTGTACTGTCTCCAGTGTGCTGTGCCATAGAAGCTGGGGAGTCTGCTGGTCAGGTCTACCATTGCTGATAAGCAGTCTTGTTTGCTTGCTTGTTTTTCTGTAAATAGACTTGCTTCTTCATAGTAGTTTTAGACTCCTAGCAAAACTGAGTGGAGTATCTGGAGTTCCCAAATGTCCCTGACTCTGGACACTCCCGACAAGAGCAGAACGTCTGTTGTAAAGGACGAGCCTACGTTCACATACCATGTTCATCTAACACCCTGCTTTACTTCAGAGTTCACACCCACTATTGTGCACTATATGGGTTTGCACAGGGTGCTGTCAGTGCCGTAGTGTATGGAGTAGATTCACGGGCCTAAAACCCACGGTGCGCCACCATCTCTCCCTCCCTTCCTTGACCCCTGGCCATCGCTGCCTTTTGTTTGTTTGTTTGGTTTGATTTTTGTTTTTTTTTTTTTTCTCTTTTGTTTTGTTGGGTTTTTTCTATCTTTTTCAAAATATCAAACAGTTAGTTGACTTTTACCCCACAAAAATAGTAACCTAACACATTAGGGGAAGATTTTTCAACTGTAAGATTTGGAACCAAGAGTTCCCTACGAAACTCCAAACTCCAGGAGAGCAGAATGTCACTCTTGACTCCCTACAGCTTTACTGTTGGTGGTGACTGGGCCTGTAGCTTCCTGGGCCACAGAGGGAGGGACACCACACTGGGGAGGTGTGAGTGTCAGTGCCCAAGTGGTAAGGCAGCTAGCCGCTCAGCTGTGGCGTGTGGCAGAAGTGTGCAAAAGCCACAGTCCTGGACAATGTGTCCGAGATTCTAGACTCGTCAATCTGAAGCTAGGTTACAATATAGGATGCCAAAACAAAGGTTTGAGAACCCTCCAAAATGAGACTTTGTGTCCTCTTGTGCAGGCTTGATCAGGCCTTCTCGTTTCTTCCTCCCAGGTGTGTGAGAAAGAGAAGCTGTTGTCAGAAAGGAATCAGCTGAAAGCGTGCATGGGGGAGCTTCTGGACAACTTCTCCTGCCTGTCACAGGAGGTCTGCCGAGACATCCAGAGCCCAGAGCAGATCCAGGCCCTGCACCGATACTGCCCTGTCCTCGTACCCATGGATCTCCCCGGAGCCAGTGTTAACCCCCCTCCTTTGGGGGTCGAGCAGAGCCTTGCACCCTCCCAGTGTGCGGTAGGAGGAAACGTACCCTGCTGCCTGGAGCCAGGGGCAGCTGCGCCTGGGCTCCCCTGGGTGCCCAGCAACACCTCTGAGAATTGTACCTCTGGGAGGAGATTGGAAGGCACTGACCCTGGGACCTTCTCGGAAAGAGGACCTCCTCTAGAAGCCAGGAGCCAGTCCGTGACCGTGGACTTCTGCCAGGAAATGACTGAGAAGTGTACAACAGACGAACAGCCCAGGAAAGATTACGCCTAGCCGGTACGGTCAGCCCTGTCTGAGTCCTCACACCTCTCCGGTCAGGCGTTCCTCTGCCAGCCAGTGGCGCTGTTCATCTGTGTCTCGAAGGACCAAGAGCGAATCTGGTGCACACTACAGCAGTCTTAGCAATACTGTTCCGAAGTATTCCCTCCTCTCCGTAAGCAGGAGTGCCGGTTACCTTCACAATGGTGCTACCCCTTGCCCCGGCAAGGAAGACAGCAGTGCGGACACTGTCTGTCTGTGGGTTCATTGCAGACATCACAGGGATGACTACACCTCTAGGACCCAACCACGGATTTTTTTTCTCAGTGGCCCATGTCACAAACCCTATCTCAGGAATTTCTTCTGAATGTTCAATTTTTTTCATTGAAGACAGCTTCTATACACATCAAAGTTTTATAGCTATACTGTACATATTATATATAATATATATGAAATATATATCCATATGCAAAAGTCCTGCATGCCTCAATTTTCTCATCCTAAAACTGGAAACTTCGTTTATCATTTACAAAAACAGGTTCCAACATTCCTCTTTTGTCTCTGATGCCAGAACTGGTTTTGTAACTGTCAACACAGTCATTTTTCTTGCTTCGCAGTTCAGTTTCAATCTGTACTTATTTACAGACAAAATTCAATGTTGGAAGCTTTTTCTCAAGGTTTAATCTCAGACCTTTTACTTTTGTGGGTTTGGTTCTGGCACCACCGAATGGTGTCACGTGAGCATCGTGGGTCTGTTTTTTTTTTTTTTTTTTTCTCCTTGTGTTCTCCCTTGTTGTTACAGATACTGTACAGCAATGGCCAACTTCGCCACTTGCACTGAGTTTTGAGTCAAACCTATTTTCTTAAATGAAGTTGTAACTTCAGTCTAACTCAAGTATATTGTATATTCTTTGCTTTTAGTTAAAAAGTAAAACATTTTAGCTAATTTAAAAAGCTCTCAGGTGATAATTATGTAGGAAAAAAAAAACAATCTTGCCAAATAATGAACCCATCCTAGGATGTGTAGACAACAATCTGCTTGACTATTTTTCTAGCTCACTTACTCCCCACCTTCCCTAAGTAAAAGCTGAAGTGCAGAGAAATCAGCACTGACACTGGATGTTCGGTTCCTACGTGGGGAGAGAATGTGGATGGCTCACGGGACTGATATCAAAAGAACAGGATCCTGTGGCATGGGAGAACACACAGGCAGAGGTGACGAGAAAGCCAAGGGAGACCCGCTTCCTTACCCAGGGAGGAATCCCGTTCATGTCGGCATTTCATTCTGGCCTCCACATGCGCGTGTGCTCAGAAATGTCCGCTTCTCTGAGGGGCACAGCTAACCAGCCAGCCTCCCAGCTTTCCTGCCCAGGCGTGAGGGTATCTCAATCATAGCCTTGGCCCGCTGAGTTAACTGAGCTCAGTGAGAGTAGGAAAGAACATGGCAGCATCAAGCCTGAGATTCACACGGGCAGAGGCTAATGTGCCCTTTCCCTTTTGTTCTTCAAATGCTCCCTGTACCCTGAGGGTTCTGTCTCCCCCACACATACCCCGCCCCTTGTCTGAAAGTCCGCTTCATTCAAGGCATTGAACAGATACCCCTAGGAACCCTCTGCCCACCCCCAAAACCCTCCCCTCCGCACACACCATTTCCTTCCCAGATAACAGTCTGCTTCCCTTGCTAAAAACTAGTTGGCTTGCAAACCCAGAGAGCAGCTTCCTTGGCACTAAGGTATCCTGGCCCAAGCCATGTTTACGGAATATGTGCCCCAAGGAGGCGTCAGCTCCCTCCTCTCAGTGGTCTCTTTCTTCTCTCGCTCGGTAACCTGGAGACCGCTCCAGCTGTGCGAAGTTGTCCAGAAAACGGATGTTGGGATAGGGTAGAGGGTCGTGGGGGATAGACAGTTGGTTGGCTTTGTTTCCTCGTCTGTACCATTGTTTGCGGACAGTATTAAAGCTGCATGCGAAAGGGGAAGTTAGTGTATGGCTAGTAGGCAAAGGTAAAACCCTAGCAACATATGTTCTAGTATTTTTAGCTCCTTTCTGTGCCAGTAGTAGTGCTAAATGTTTTAAATATGTACGAATGCCAGAAGTTGTTGGTTCATGCAGTAGAATTTAAGGGGGAAATGACTTCTTTTAAAATAGGTCCATTTTTAAAACCTGCCTCTGAGTTTCGAGTGTGCGTGTGCGTGTGTGTGTGTGTGTGTGTGTGTGTGTGTGTGCGTGCATGCGTGTGTGCGGATTTTGATAAAGCTGGGCTGGAACTGCCATCCTCATTACACTGTTGGCTTTTCTTGGTCTCATCCAATGGTTCCCTACTTCACCAGGAGGCCGGCCTTCGTGAAAAGCTGGTAAAGCTAGCATTTAACCTAATGTGAATCACGTGATGCCCACAGCTGCCTGTGACCACGCAGGAGTCAGCAGACAGTATTTTTTTTTTCTCTTAACTCTCTGCCTTTTGAAGTGACCTCTTCTAAAGAAACGCAAAGGCTTGTTTTCTGCTCGGGCCGTCAGCAGCGCAGAGCAGCCTCTCAGCTTGTCTTGTGCTGTCCCAGCTCCTGTGCCACATTCCAGAGTTTATCCCCAAGTTTCTGTCACCAGTAGCTCATCCCTATGTGGTGGCCATTTCTAGGGTGGGGGCTGGGGGCCGGGTCTCCTCGTTTCTCTCCGCCCTAACCCAGCTCTCTTCTTCCTTCTCTCAGTTTCTCCATCCCCCACCCCTTCTTCCACCCAATCTCTGCCAAGGGAACTAGTTTTTAAAACTTACTCTAAAAATGGCTATTACTTTGGTATTTTTAACAAGTGATCTCATTCGGTACCCACCAGGAATGGCAGCTGACTGTGTGTAATTGCTCATGGGACGTATCTGTCCGTTACTGTTCCAAACCATTGCTTATCAAAATAGTGCCTGGGTAGATTTAAAGAGAAGGCTCACTGGGGACCAGAATCTAAATTCTTCAAGTAGAATTCAGAAATCCCCAATCTGTCCTTCGCTGGCATCCCTCAGTCAATCTCATTCCCTCAATAGAAAAGAGAAGGGACAAGAACAGAGGAGAGTGTTTGCATATTAAGGGGACATGTAGTTGCATGCTTGAAGGTCTTTTCTTTCGAAGATGACTCCAGTCACAGGCTGTATAGGAGGGTCACAGTGAGAGCCTGGCTGGGTTTCCCAGAGGCTGGGGTGTGAATGTGAAGGTCCAGGGCTGGCACAGGTGATGCTAAGACTGACAGAATCCTTCCCAGACGCAGCCCTCCCTTGGAGCAGCCTTTGTCCCCCTGTGTCTCTGAACAGCCACGGTCAGGTTGCCCAGGCTGTAGGCAGGTGTGTGCTTTGCCGTGTGTGTTTGTTTCTCTGCGTTATCTGGGGGTGCCTTGAATAAAGTCAAAACGTCATGATTTACTTCCTGATTCTGGAACAAAGCAGTTATAAAAAACTTTTTTAAAAGTTGGCGAAGTTGCTAAGGCCATCCTGCTACTTCTCTCCCAGGTTCCCTAACAATGACTCAGGCGTCAGGGGTGATGCTGCAGTAGAAAAACATTATTTTTATGTCATACAAGTAATTTATTTACTGTCTCTCTCAAGGTATGCTGCTTCTTAACATGCACTATAATTTTGGATGTAATCCTTGCATTACTTTCCCAACGAAGGTTTAAGATGGCTAGTAACTAGTGTGCTCACTGCCTCTTCTCCTGGAAGGAGCTCCAGGGCACACGCAGGACCTGCGTGGAGGACTGGCTGAAGCCTACACTTGTGTTCTAATAGCTTATGATTTGCCACTAAAGAAGAAAAGATGAAGCATACAAAGGTGTGAAAGTGTGAACCTTTTCAGAAATTGCCCAGTCTTGCCCCAGGGGCTGCTCTGCAGCCAATGAAATCACAGAGTCCTCCCAAATGAGTCAATCTGTAAAGCTTCAAGTCTGTCCTTGATTGCATATTTCTGGTGGCCCACTTAAACCAGGAGCTGTTGATTGATTCTTGACTCCAAACTGCTCCGCTGTTGCCTACAGTGGAGGGGGACTCTCAGATCCAGACGAGAGCAAGAATCAAGGTTTCTCCTCAGATCTCTCTCTCTCTCCCTCCTCAACACCCCCACCGCATACGCACATGTGCACACACACACACACACACACACACAGAGCAGACTAAAGTAAAGGATTATTTTGAAAGAATAAAGCTCTTTGTTGTATCATGAGTTCGTATTTACTTGAGGATTTTGTTGCAGATTTCATTTCTGGCGAGTCAGTCTGCAAATGCCTTGTAGGGTTGGTATTCATAAAGGAAGTCTGTGCATGGAGTTATTTTGTGTTCAAAATGTATAATACTGCCCGAGCCATCTCATGACCCAAGTGTCAAAGACTGATGCTGTAGCATAGGATATATTTGTGCATAAATAGTGTGTGCAAATAGTACTTGTACATTGAAGAGACTTGTCGTAGCAGATCAAAGGTAAATTATTCAACTGATGGTGCAAAAACATTACTTGCAAAGTAATTGTATAGTATTTTCCTACACTCCACCCTGGGAGATCATATTTATAACAAGTGAATTATTAGTGCATTTTAATTGTAATATGAAATGATGCTGCCATTTTGTGAAGAATACCCACTTGGTTGCAGAGGCCAACTTTTATAGCTTTGGTTTGATGTTGTGGCATGGTGTATGCATTTCTCTATCAAGCGATGGATAAACTCTTGGCTTTCATTTTCATTCCAGTTTATTGACCTCAGATAAAACAATGGCTGTTCATGGAAGTGTATCAAGACCACTCGTTTCAGGTAGACTCACACTCAGTGCCAAACGCTCCCGTGGGAATAATCAAACATATATATATATATATCAGGAAAAAGTAAAGGGACTTGGACAAAAAAATGGGTTTTCCTACAGATGGGTGCTAAATCTTCTACCAAACATGTCTCTGGGGGCAAAGAGTTGGCCTCCCCTTGGGTCCTAACCACGTATTTTGGCTGTGGCAATGCTGGGATGCCCATTCACACTCTGACACAAGCCTGGCACTTGTAATGAATTTATCAGGAAGATTGTAGATGCATTTGGGAGCTTCGGGTACTCATTAGACACGGTGAGCCATTCAAGGCAGGAGGGCCTGTGGGAATTTGTTCCAGAACCAGTCTGATGCAAGTGCACCTCTGATATATGCCTTACGAACTCCAGAGGCCATATGCAAAACAGGGTCTTCTCAGTGTATGCAAGGGGCTGCAGCCCCTCCTCTCCTCCTCCCCAGCTCAAACAATACGGACAGTTTTCACACATATCTACCTGTATAACCCTCCGTACCTCTCATAACTGGTCAACGACTGTAACAGGTTACATCAGGTGTTTTTCTACATAACTTTTTACACAGATTCTATGCGATTAATGTAACTTAATTCAACGCATCATTTTATTGTACAAGTTCTTACGCTTGGCCTTATTTTTTCCTAAGTGATTGTGGTTTTTCTTGTGGTTTTTCTTGTAAAGATATTGAGATGGCTGATGATGCTTATTCTCTGTAACTAAGAATTTTTACCTTTTTGGGGAAAAGCATTGCTATGGATTAATGAATTGAGACTTCATTTACTCGTTGTAAATACACTATTGTGCAAAAAAATCACTCAGTTGAATTGCTAGTGTTAACTGAATTTTGTCTAGACGCCATTTCTGCTGATGAAATAAAGACATATCATTCTGCATTGTAAAAGCCTCTGATCCTGCGTTACATTCTGCAGAGTAGAAAACCTCAAGTTTTCTCCACAAAAGGCCATTTCTTGCCCTGTGGCTTGGACCCTTCCCTGCTTCCTGACTGATCAAATGAGAAATTTTAAGAATTTAGTAACATGCCAGGTGGTGGTGGCGCACGCCTTTAATCCCAGCACTCAGGAGGCAGAGGCAGGCACGTTTCTGTGAGTTCAGGGTCAGCCTGGTCTACAGAGTGAGTTCCAGGACAGGCTACAAAGATACATAGAGAAACCCTGACTCAGAAAAAAAAAGGATTTAATAATGCTGTTTTGAACATGAATTTTAAGAAATCCCCATTGCCCATGAAATTGGATAACAGATGTTAGAACCACTTCCACTTTCGACATCCCACTGTAGCTGTGCAAACGTTGCCATGGGTAATAAACGCTATTTTTTACAACTCTGCGTGAATCTACAATTACATCAAGGAGGGTTGACCAAAAAGAGGCCAGGTGTAGTGACACATGCCCAGGCCCAGTTACTCCACAGGCTGAAACAGCATCACAGGATGAGAACATAGTGTTAGTATTCAGGCATCTGTACTGGGCTGCCCTTGGGGTCCTGACAGGATACCCTCAGCTGCAGCCACTAAGAGCCCCTCCTGTGCACATTCTCTATGTTCCCTTTTAAAAGGTGGGCCTTGCCCACCTCCTGTCTCTCCCCCTCCCCCTCTCTCCACCCCTCCCTCTCTCTCTCCCTCCTACCATTTTTGTCCCCAGGGACCAGTCTCTGCTTCTTCTCTGTCCCCTTCTCTCTCCTTTTCCAATAAACCTTCCATGTGAGCCCTGTCCTATGGCATCTCTTTCTCACCCACCTTTATCACCCACCCTTTTTAAAATTATAACAATGAAGCTGCCATCTCATTGATTTAAATGAGAGTAAATGAGAGCCTAAGAGCAAACAAATAGCATGTGTGATGGTTTTACCAAGGACAGAGGTTGACGGCTGTGGTCAGGGAATACACAGAAACTAGGAAGATGTATTCCGTGGCCAGTGTCTTCAGTTTTTATGTGCACTGTATTGTGGGCAGACCATTCACAGCAATACATTTTTACAGAGTGTATAAATATCCCACAACAAGCATAAACTAAGGCCAAGTTTTCATAATAGAAAAGTCTCCATGTCGTTATTAGAGAACTAGTCATGTAAAGAAAGGCCCGTCATAAGAGTGTAGCTCAGCGGTATAATACCTGCCTGCTATGTATGAAGCTTTGGATTCAATTTCCATTACTGTAAAGAAAACTGGAGTATTCTAGCTTGCTTTATACTGCTGTGATAAAACACTGGCCAAACGTAACTTAGAAAGGAAAGGCTTATTTCATCTTTAGCCATCTAAGTGATAGTCCGTTACTGAGGGAAGCCAGGGCAAGGCTCAAGGCAGGAAGTGAGACAGAAACCATAGAGGAATGTTGTTACTGGCTCAATTCTTCTAGCCTGCTTAGCTATCTTCCTTATCCAACCCTGGACCACCTGTCTAGTGGTGGCACTGCCCACAGTGTGCTGGGCCTTCCAACATCAATCTGTAATCAAGAAAACACCCAGAGACATGCCCACAGTTCAGTCGGAGGCAGACAATCTCTTGGTTGAAGTTCCCTCTTCCCGCATGACTCTAGTTTCTGTGAAGTTGATCAAATAAATAAATAAATAAATAACCAGGACAGGGAGGGAGGAAGACGGTTGATTTCCTGGATTGTCGATGCAATACGTACTATTGTGAGGCACAAGGAGGCACCCGTATAACCCTAGCTTCTTGGGAGACTGTGGAAGGAGGACAATCCGAGGCTGTGAACTGCCAAGCTTGGTGGTGGTAGGCACCCTTACCTGCCAAGACCCTGTTTCCAAAACACTGTTTGAAAGGGCAGAAGAGCTGACTCAAAAAAACAAAGGCACTTTCTACACAAGTGTGAGGACCAGAGTTAAAATCCCAGCAGCCACATAACGAGTGTGGTCCCCATGCAATCTTGTGACCCCAACAGTGAGTGGGGCAGGCAGAGGATAGAAGGATCACTGAGGCTTGCCGATTGCCAGCCTACTTGGAAACCACAAGTTCCAAGGTCAGGAAAGGACCCTGCCTTGAAGGATAATGACAAAAGAGGATACCTGGTGCCCTACCATGGCCTCTGCACGTGTGCAAACAGGTGCACATGCATGTACCCACCCACCTACCCCACACACAATTTACACATAGCAGCCAATTAAATGGGCAAAGTACAAATAAATGACCAATAGGTGAAAAAAAGTTCAACGTCCTTAGTCATCAGGAAAATACAAATCAAAACTACATTGAGAATTCATCGCACCACAGTCAAGAAAGCAAACAACAAATTCTGATGAGGATGGGTGGAGAAGAGGTCTCCACCACGGCTAGTGAGAATATAGTCAACCTATTTGGAAATCAGCAAGGATAGGCCTCAGAAAACAAAAATAAAAACTACTAGATCTACCTATGCCACTCCTGGCTCCTACGTCCAGAGGTCCCAGGTCAACACCGCAGTGAAAACTGCACAGTCATATTGATTCCTGAATGCTCTCCACAATACCCAAGATGTGGAACAGCCTAGATACCCGACAGACGGATCAATACCAAAGTGTGGTGTACATACACAATGAAGTTTTATTCTGGCATAAGGACCGAAAGTATGTTATTTCCAGAAAAAATGAATAGAACTGGAGATCACTGTATTGAACAAAATAAGCCAGACTCAGAAAGACAAATTGCGTGTTTTCACTCATTTTCAGAATCTAGCTTTAAATGCACACACATACACACGACCCAAAAATAAAAGGACTATTTGGACCAATAGGAGAGAGAGGTGCAAACAAGAAAGAATGATAGGGAAACAGGAGAGGGTGATTGTTGATGGCTATGAGGTAAACACATGATATTTATGTATGAAAGTGTCCCATGAAACCTATCATTTTGTACACACGAAAAAAATGTTAATTAAAAAATTATAAAATAAGTAATACTCTATCCAAACCAATATTACCTGATGCTGTAATCACAGGGCTGAAACAAAGAAAGGTGTGTTGGGGAGAAGGGTTGGTTAAGAAGTAGGTGCTGGAGTTATTTCCATGGGAAATAACGAATCCCCAAGCCAGATGCCACGGTAGGTACCTGTGGTATTTCCAAGTACTTGGGAGGCTGAGACAGAGACACCACTTGAGGCCAGGAGATGAAGACTAGCCTGGGTAACATATTGAAATCATGTTTGGAAGGAGGGTAGAAAGGGAAAGAAGGAGGAAGGGAGGAGGGTGGGAATAGAGAGGGAGGGAGGGAAGGAAAGGAGAGACTGGGCACTAACAAGGCAGGTACAGGTAAATAGACAAAAGCTACCAAGAAAGGGAAGAAGTAAAGGATGTTAGCGCGTGTTCTGTCGCTGTGATAAAACACTGATCAAAACTAACTTGGGGAAAAGGGTTTCTTTTAGCTTACAGGTTACAGTTTTCTGCACCCCAGGCCCACCCGCTCAAGGGTGGCACTGCCCACAGTGGATCCGGCTCTTTCACGTCACTCGTTATTGCCTACAGGCCGATCTGATGGAGACAGCTCCTTTTTTGAGTTTCCCTTTTCTCTGGGTTGTACAGATTTGGGTCAAGTTGACGAAAGCTAGCAAGCTCGGAGAATGGTGGTGCGTGCCTTTAATCCCAGCACTTGGCAGGTAAAGGAGTGAATTCAAGGCCAGCCTGGGTTACCTATCAAGTTGCAGGCAAGCCAGGGAGAGAGAGAGAGAGAGAGAGAGAGAGAGAGAGAGAGAGAGAGAGCTACATAGTGAGGCCCAGTCTTAAAAACAAGCAAAAACTAACAAGCACAGAAGGAAGAAAAGGAAGGGGGAAGGGAAGGGGAAATACTGAGCATTGTGAGACACTAAAGAGGGGGATGGAAGGAAGGAGAGAGGGAGGCGAGGGAGAGAAAGAGAGACCAGGCACTTACCCAGGCAGGTACAGGGTAAATGGGACTCTGTGAGCCATGTAGCAAGTGAGCGACCCAAATTTATCTCACATGTCTTAGTTAGGGTTTCTATTGCTGTGATGAAACACCATGACCAAAAGGCAAGTTGGGGAGGAAAGGGTCTAGTTGGCTTACACTTCCATATCACTGTTCATCATGAAGAAAGTCAGGGAAGGAACTCACACAGGGCAGGAACGTGGATGCAGGAGCTGATGCAAAGACCATGGAGGAGTGCTGCTCACTGACTTGCTCCTCATGGCTTGCACAACCTTCTTTTTTATAGAACCTAGGACCACCAGTCCAAGGATGGCACCACCCACCGTGGGCTGAGCCCTCCCACATGAATCACTAATTAAGAAAATGCCTTATAGGCTTGCCTAAAACCCAATTCTATGGAGGCATTTTCTTAGTTGAGGTTCCCAATGACTTTAGCTTGTGTCAAGTTGACATATAACTACCAGCACACAGGGCATAGATACAGAGATGACAGAGCTTCATGACTTTGAACCACATTGATTCTTCTTATGACTTGAAGTCTTTGCAGGGTACGTGGCCAGGGTTTCATGGCAATCTGGTCATGTGTTAGATTAAAGAGCTATGGAACCCTTTCCACGACCCCCCCATGCCAGTCTGCACTGTGGGGGCCGAGTGTTTCTCGACACTCCTCTCCTATACAGCTCATGACCACAGGGAGGGTGAAGACAAGACAGTACTTCCTGGTAACCCCTGGAAGTAATTTTTGGGTCACAGCCAACATTTGCTGTCACTGACAATGAATGGCAGCAGCAGGAATATAACCAGATCATGGATGCATTGGCCAGTGTTTAAGTCATTGCTTAATTTCTACAGCATTGACAAAGTAAAATTACATTTGCTTCATGCTCACAAAACAAACTGATGATAGACATCACATGGTCAGTTTCTTGTCGGCCTTTCCCTTACAGACATGAAGTAGGCTCAAGCCCAGGTTGAGTTTGAAGCTGACAGCTTGCTCTAGAGCCATGTTAGAGGGACCCCTGTCTGCCACCGCAGATTCTGGGTGTCTCACTGGGCTGCTGGGAGTGGTGAAGGGGGAGGGCATTCTAATCCTCAGGGCAGGAGCTGTGCATAGTTGTCTGTAGATCTTTGTGTCTCATCATTCCTCCCTAGGGGATCTTCAGACCCGCCTCAAACCCCATGAGCAGGCCGAGCTGAAAGAGGCTCCTCCAGTTCAGGGAAGGGGCTCCAGCAGAGGTGAACCTGCCTGCCAGGTGCACCCAGCACTCGCTGCAACTATAACAAAGACCCAAGATAAATAACTTACAAAGTGGAACGGGTTGTTTTGGCTTGCAGGTTTAGCGGTTTCAGCCCATGGCCAGTTGAACTCATCATTTTTGGGGGCTGTGGTGAGGCAGCAAGTCTTGGAGGGAGCATGTGACAAAACTTACCTTGTAGCCAGAATGCCAAAGAAAAGAGAAGAGAGCCAGACCCATGGTAACCATGCTTTTAGTCCCAGCACTTGGGGGGAGAAGCAGGCGGATCTCTGAGTTAGAGGACAGACCGCTCTACATTAGAGTTCCAGGACAGCCCGAGCTAAGTAGAAAGCTCCTGTCTATAAATAAATAAATAAATAAATAAATAATGAATGAATGAATGCGTGAACAAATAATAAATGAATGAAGGAATGAATAAATATATAGATAAATGAATAAATAAATACATAAGGAAAAGGAGAGGGACTGCAATCCCACGTTTCCTTCAAGGGCACATCTCTGGTGACCTAAGAGTTCCCACGAGGGCCTCTTAAAGGCTTCACAGTCTCCAAGATCAAGCCTTTAACACATGGGCCTGGGAAGTCACTCCAGAGCCAAACACCCTGCCCAGCAGTGCGAAGTTCTTCCAGTTGGAGATGGCCAAGGCATAGCTTCCATTTTGTAGATGGCAAGGGCTTTCGGTGCATTATTTTTTCATAATAGATGAAAGTTCTAGAAGCATGTTCTGAAAGAGAATTAAAAGATAGACTCAAAAGCTTGTGACGCCAATTCTGCCCATCCACTCGGAGATCCGCATCACAAACAGCAGGGATCCAAAGCCTGCTGCACAGTGTAGGTCTGTACGGTTCTACCGGAAGTGCAGCCTGGAAATGGTTCCGCCCATCAACCTTAGTAGGAAAGAACTGAATCCGGCCTGCAACAGCCCCCTTTCTCCTCTTCCCTCTGTTGTCTGTCCAAATGCCAGACCTAAAGCACAGGTCAGCCTTCTCTCCAACTCTACTGTAACTATTCTTCAGTTAGCCTGATCTTCAAAGGGGAAAGTGTCAGGTCCAAAGAAACTCAGGACGAGCCTGGTGGTGGCCCGTGCCTTTAATCTCAGCACTTTTTGCCAAATCTACAGAGCAAGTTCCAGGACAGCCAGAGCTACACAGAGGAACCCTGTCTAGGAAAACTAATGCACAAAAAAGAAACTCGGGACAAACGACCGTGGTGCCTGTTAGCGTGCCAAAGCTCATGCTGGCTTCTAGACTTCCTCGGTATCATCACAGACAACTGTGGCTCTAAGCACCTCTCTCACCCCGCCCCTGCCCTAAACTTCTCAAGGTTGTGGATTTTCCTCCCCTAGCTTCTCTTTCCCTTATAACCCTTCATTTTCAGCTCTGCACTCTCTTAGACCCCCTCCTTGCTCTCCTTGGCCCGTATTCTCTTTGTCTTCCTTTCTCACGATCCTATCGGCTCCACCCATGAGGTTGTGTTCCTTACACTGCTTTCTCTCTTTGCTCTGAACTGTCCCAGATGCCTCTGGTTGTACTCTTTCTCATATGTACAATAAAAACCTTCCAGGACTGGAGAGATGGCTCAGAGGTTAAGAGCATTGCCTGCTCTTCAAAAAGTCCTGAGTTCAATTCCCAGCAACCACATGGTGGCTCACAATCATCTGTAATGGGGTCTGGTGCCCTCTTCTGGCCTGCAGGTATGCACACAGACAGAATATTGTATACATAATAAATAAATAAATATTTTTAAAAAAAAACTTCCCCTCAACCATAGCTTAGGGCAGTCATGGCCTCAGTTTCTACACTGGTGCCAAAACCCTTAGTTTATACAGAAAGTAATTTAAATATAGAATGCTGCATCTGAGGGCGGAGAGATGGCTCAGTGGTTAAGGGCACTTGCTGCTCTTGCAGAGGACTAGCATTCAGTTCCCAGCACCCATGTCGCCTGGCTCCCAGCCATCTATAACTCCAGCTTCAGGGGTCCAAAACCCTCTTACGGCCTCTGCAGGGTGAGTAAGGATCAGGTTGAACTTGGATTGAAGCAGATATCCTTAGGACAAAATACAAACATATTCACAAATCCAATAAATATTAACTTAGCCCTAACTGTTATGATCTTTATGCTTGCCTGTCCTGTCACCTCGGTACCCTGTTCCTTTAAGAAGCAAGCTCCGCATTGGACTGAGCTCCCAAGGTCCAGTTGAAGAGCAGAGGGAGGGAGAAGATGAGCAAGGAAGTCAGGGCCACAAGGGGTTGGTCCACCCACTGAAACAGTGTGCCTGAGCTAATGGGAGCTCACCAAGGCCATCTGGACTGGGACTGAACGAGCATGTGATCAAACCAGTCTCTCTGAATGTGGTTGACAATGGGGGCTGACCGAGAAGCCATTGATAATGGCACTGGGATTTGATCTACTGCATGTACTGGCTTTTTGGGAACCTAGTCTATTTGGATGCACACCTTCCTAGGCCTGGATGGAGCGGGGAGGGCCTTGGACTTCTGACAGGGCAGGATACCCTGCCCTCTCTTAGGACTGGAGGGGGAGGGGGAGGGTTAATGGGGGAGGGTGAGGGAAA